AAATTGATTGCTTCCTTCCTTTCTTTGAAAGATTCCCACATTTTTTTGTATTAAGATGGAATAGAAGAAAGCCAAATACTTTTTTCTCAAAAATATGTAAATTATATGATACTACATTGAGTTTATATAAAAACTATCCGTGCTGAGAATCATAAAGTAGAAAAAACACAGGAAGAAACATTCCTGTTGTTTGTGTTATGTTTTTAAACGCATCAATCTTTGATAATCAATTTTTTTATACCCAATAACGTTTCAAAAATGATGATGTACATTTTTCCCCTCCAAGGGTATCTGAAATGTATGTACTCTAAGCTAATAGATATTGTTGTTGCTTTTAATTAATTTTGTTCTTTTGTTCACTTAGTATGTAAAAATAATTAATCATGGTTTGTTTATAAAAAAAGACGATTTTGATATTGACAAGAATTTGAAATGTTACAAAATAAAGTAGTTCACTTGAAACGTTTGATTCTTGGTTTACTACGACTTTAAATCAAAGGAATTCACAGTAGGACTGACTAGTCGAACATTGGTCCTTCGAGCAAAAGATAAATAACAAAAAGTAATCTATTACAATATGCCCATGCCTAACCTGAGGAGGAGTGAGAGGAAAACTAAAGGAGTTCCTCCTGAAAGATATAGCGACGTATGTTATGTTATGACCCACGACAAGTTTCGGACTTGCAAAAACGTTCTTCATTAGAAGACCCATCTAATACCGGAGACAAATCAAAAATTACGAAATCTTCAAGCTCTAGACGACGAATGTTGAAAATAGAATTGGAAGAAATGAGAAAATTGGCCGAAGTAGAGAGAAGGAGAGCCAAAATTGAGAGGAAAGCTAAAATTGATGCTGAACTAATAAGGAAAGAAGCACAACTACAACGTGACCTAATTCTAGATTCTCCATCTAAAAAGTCCACAATCTCCAGTGGCAAAAACATCATTGATTTGGAAGAAATTACGCTACAAGAAAAAGTTGCTGAGTGGAAAATCGAAGAAACAGAAAATAAAATCGAATTCGTACAAACAATTTTATTACGATGATTACTGATAATTTCAACCAGATTTTAGACGTTCTGATGATACATAAATCAAAATGTTCGGAAAAAACAGACAATGTTAAAACAAATTTGCCGATTTTCGATGGGAATCCAGAGGACTGGCCTTTGTTCTACAGTCAGTTTGAACGTTCCACCAAACTTTTTGATATATGTGAAGATGAAAATATAATCCGTCTACAAAGATGTTCACAAGGAAGGGCTAGAGATGCAATACAACCTCTTCTTGTTTCACCAAATAATGTTTTGAACACAACAGGAACTTTGAAAGTTATATTTGGACGATCTGAATTTATAATTTTAAATCTAATAGAGAGAGTTCGTCGAGCCTCTTCTCCGAGGGAGGGACGGTTTGAAACATACCTACCATTTTCTAATGTTATCGAAAACTTAGGAACTACTATGGAACTCTTTGAAAATACGGGACATGAAAAATCCATCAATCTTGAATGAAATAGTCACTAATTTACCCCCCATTTCTGAGACTCAAATGGGCTGAGGAATCTTTTTTACAAAATGAAATTATTTTGAAAACCTTTTCTATGTGGACGAGAAAAATCGCAATAGCTGCATCAAGTTGTGCTGACTTTAGTAGTTACCACTTCTCCGAAAGAAAAATGAACGAAAATGAGAAATTCCACTCCAGGAAAAATGCTAGTATATTTTCGACCAAAAAATATGAGAAATGCCAAAAAAATTATAATTTGACTGACTGCCAAATTTTCAAAAAACTAGATATCGACAAGAAATGGAAACTTTGAAGAAACTATGTTTCTACTGTTTGAAACCAGGTCATAATATCTACTCATGTAAATTGAAACAAAAGTGTGGAATTGAAAATTGCCCAAAATTACACAACATATTACATAACCTTGATTTTACAAAAAAGGAAAACGAAGCCTCAAGTTCTTGTTCAAACCCAAATGAAGATGTCGGACCGGAAAATCAAGTTGAAAAAATACATTTTTTCCAACAAGATTAGTTCCATCGCCATGGTTCGAAATAAAATAGTAAATATCTTTTAATTTGAGTTGAAGGGGTTCTATTTTTAGGAGTGATAAATTTTTGGAAAAGAAAGTTTTTGGCTTTCTACTACTCCATCTTGATACAAAAAATAATGCATGATCTACACATCCATGTATAGAGTCACTTATTTTCAAATTGATTACTTCCTTCCTTTCTTTGGAAGATTCCCTCACCCCCCTTTTTTTTGACATTATTATCAATAATTTTTCTGCTTATACATAATTGAAAGAACTCGTTAGCAGGATTACACAAACCAATTCTTCAACAATCGTGGGATTACGAATATTCAAACTTTTTTTTCAACATTCCTATGGACGTGAAGGTTCTTATCAAGTATTAACGTTTATATTCTATCCAATTATATAGTTTCGCTACTAATATTTTCATTTTGTGAGATATTTCATGTTTCCTTTTGAATGCATTTGAAAAATCACCTAATGTCGTATATCGATTAGTTAACACCTTCGAACCATGAATATTCTTTTACAAAAATAGAAGCATTTCAGGTTTTTTTTCAAAAAGTAAACATGAAACGGAATGATAAATTTGTTTTTCCTTACATGCGCATTACATCAATTATTCTGAAAATGATTTTCACGCTCATTGCTGGCGTCATGTGGAGGTGAACTATACTAAGTTTGTTAACTCTCACTTTGCCTATTGGAATCTAACAGAATGAACCATAATGTTTAATTTCAGCTGAACATTAAATAATTCTGAAGTACAAACTAGAGGGTATAATTCCGAAAAAAATTTGTGTTCATAGTTTTTTGATGCACTTTGCTACTTCTGAACTTACTTTTACAAAAGTTTAGTTTTATATGTGTTAGGAATCACACGTTAAAAGGTAGGACCTCGTTAATCCTTAGCTCGCACAAGTTTCTCAACTTCTGAGAGTTGTCGTTCGTATGGGGGCGACAGCTAATTAACGGAAAAATTGATTTTGAACAGAACAGAAACAGATATACCAGATTCATTTATCTATAAAAATACTGAGATTGGTTCAAAATGACAATATGTAATATCAATTGATTTTGTTAAGGGAAACGTTTCTGACATATTTTATGAACACTTCAGACAGAATCTTATCCAATGGAGAAATAAAGGAATTGTAATCTGATCACAGATTAATGTAAAAATTGCTACTGCAAAAAGTGCTGCTGTGAAAGTTGTTCATAATGAAGCAAAAATGGAATATAATAACAATTTGAAAAAAGTTAAGAATTCTATCAAGGAAAAATTATTTGATCGAATAAATTGAAATATTCCTAGAATTTATAAAACTATTTGCCCGACTGAAGATAATTTCACAGACTTATTATCACAAATTACAGCTATCCATTGCAATAAATTTCTAATCAAAGTCATTCCGTAACTATTCAAAGTGGTAGATGAAGGCAATATTTAAATTTAATACATATTTCGAATAATTCGCAATAAGTACTCCACTAACGAGGAATTGATAACAAAAAATAAATTTGGAGTAACGAAGTCTCATCAATTGCTATCAGTACTCCTTTAATGAGGAAATGATAACAAAAAATAAATTTGGGATAATGATGTCTCATAAATCTGAATAAATGATGACTCGTTATGTATTTTTTTTTCAAAATGTAAAAATATGTTCAATAACAAAATAGAATTTTCTGTGAAATTTTCACTACAAACTATTTCACCCCACGTGCTTTGCTCTGTAAGAGAAATGATAAATTACTATCATTTTGCACTGTAACAGTCTTAGGTCTAACCTACTAGCTGGATTAGGTTAGGCTACGGGCAGGTAGCCCGGTCCATGGTTCAATCCAATAAATAATTCTAAGTTAAACTCAACTACCTGAAAAAACTTGACATGACCATAAATTCAAAGTAAAAACAAATAAATAGATTAACGATTATTGAACAGTAAATATTCAAAGAGAAGACTAAATATGATTACAGTACGAACACAGTAACGTCAATATCTCTACAAATATTTATTATTCTCTGCCGTATATCCAATATTGAAACAAGTTCAGTTTCGTACACCTTTTGCTTCAAATAGCCCCCTAAAAAATGTCTAAAGGTGTCAAATCTGGCTAGCGGCCTGGCCATTCTGTAGGACCTCGACGGCCAATCCAATGACTGGAAAAGTAGTATTCAAATAGTTTTTTACTTGTCTGGAGTAATGTGGTGGAGCTCAATCTTGTTGGAATACAATGCCCATATCGAATTCATTAGGATTCGCTTCGATGATTTTAGTAATGAGAGGGTTATAGTATGTTTGAAGGTGATTGACAATGTTTCGTGATGAGTTTCACTAGTTCGGACTTCCATTGTCTACTATATAAAATGATTTGAAATCCCTGAAACAAGTAAAAGAGAATAATTAAAAAAGAATAGTTGAAAATAACAATTATATTAAGCCACAATAAACCTGAAATGAAATGATAGTGAAATAACCTACAAGTAAAAATTCAGCTAATCTTTTTAATATTTCACAGATTCTTTCAGGGATTTCAAATCAATTTATATCATTTTAGACAATGGAAGTCCGAACTTATGAAATGCACCACGAAACATTGTCAATCTTCAAAAACAAACAAACAAAAATTTTGAATGTTTGATTATTCCTTCAATATCATTGATGAAGATATTAAACAAGAAGGGGCTTAGGTGGCTTTCCTTGTGACACTTCTGACGTGAGGTGAATCTTCTCAGATATGAAATTCTTTTGAATTTTACATATTGATTTCTATCTCAAAGATAATTTGCAAACCAGTATACATTTGGGAAATTATTGAACCTTTTTTTATTATTATGAGCTTAGTGAGATGTTTCCAAGACAAAAAACGACGTGCTAGGATAACTTGTATTTTTTTCATAAAAATGTAACAATTAATTTTCAGCAATTATTATTAATAATATAATTCCTACCTGACGCTCTGTTTGGTGTTGCAGCCCACGGCGGCGATATCAAACTTGTAGTTTTTTCTCTTCTCGCAGTTGAGAACTCGCTTGGCCCTCAGCTCGGCGAAACCGTCATCCTTGAGGATAATTTCGAAAGGAGCTTCGCCGTGGTGCTTGTTGACAATGCGGAAGCGGCATACCTCTTCGCCCGACGCCCTGATCGCCGGCGTTACCTCGACGATCGTTTCGTTCTCCTTCACGATGCCGTGGTAGCCGTTCTCAAGATTGTCAATTTCTAGCTTAGGAGCTGAAAAAAAAAGTAATTTAATTGTCTTATATTTGCATGGAGACGATTATCGATATAATCGAACATTCGAAAGGCGTACTTCAGATTTTAATATCACTTGCTATATTTATTGATATAATTTGCTTTCAGGTTTAGATGGAAGAGAAAGTCGAACCCGTGCTTCTCTTCACTGAAAAAAACCGCTGTAGCCGTTGCATACGCCACTGTTGGCAAAGAACAAAGTATCACCTCGCACATAGCGTCCATACATTATTTAATGCAATGAATATAAAAACACTGATAAAATTCATTATACATTATTAATAGAACTAGATTAATTTTATAAAATTAGAAAAATTGTTACAGAATCAGGCCTGTTCGGCCAATATACAGTTTTGGGCAAGAGCCACAAGTCAGCTTATATTTGATTAGTTAATTTATTAGAAACAATAAAGACAAAACTTTGGTGTCGGATAGATCAGGAGTATATAAGCTGACTTGTGGCTCTTGCCCAAAACTGTATGATGGTCAAACAGGAAGAACATTTTTCCAAAGAATCAAAGAGCATAGAAGTAGTTTTGTAAATAGAAAGACCAATTTGCAAACCACCTTTTAGTAGAAGGACTTCAGTTCAATCATAAATACAATGTGTTACATTTAAAAGAGAAGAATTTGAAACTCAATCTTCTAGAATGTTTAGAAATCAATAGATGCAGGAATTCGAGTAATTTACTGAATGAATAAATCCCTGTTACTGAATATTTTTTCAAATCTGGAAACTGGGACAAGCTCAGGTAATTTATTTCATTACAAACTTAGGTAAAAATCAGGTACTTGAAATGTGTAGAATGTAGAATTAGTTAGTAAAGACACGCCCGAAGAAGCCATTGTATGGCGAAACACCTGTTGCGTTTTTGTAAAACTGTTTTCGTGAAAATCTCACAATAAACTGTTTTATGGATTTTCATCAAGTATCGGCCAATTCCATCATATATTTCATTTTTCCTGCCATAGAAACCAAGCAACGCCTACGCGTTTAAGATGGTAAATGAATTGAGATGCCATTTAATCATACCAAATTATACAACAATCGAATTTTGACCAAAAACTGATATTTTCGTTACTTCCAGGATTGATAATATAAAAATATTACGAATTATAATTGATTAGGCAGAAATAAGTCTTGAAAGAAGAATTAAGGCAATACAAAAATGTACAAAACGAAAAAGTACGAATTTTCATTGTGTTAGGGTACCTACCTGTCGAATTTGATTGGGTTGTCCGAATTATATTTTGAAGAAATCCAAACAATTTACAAAAGAAGGAACGACAGGACCGTAATTTAAAATTGTTGTCAGTAACGATGATAGTTATTTCAAACGAAACGCTATAAAAATATCAAACGTCATATCATCTTAAAAAAAGTTGATGGTGGCTATGTTGACACGAAACGTTTTATCGAATATTTATTATTATACATCGTCATAGTATACTTCAAATACAATAACATTTTTCTTTTCCATTTTATTCTCCGAAATAATAATTCCATTCGAAAAAAATAAGAAACAGCATTTTTGGTTTTCCCCGTATAACTCGAGAAGGGCGAGAGCCTCCGCAAATTTTTTTCGACCACTGTATTGTTCTCGATGACTTACTTTTTTCCCATTTAATCGTCTTCGTATCTGTTATGGATTAGAATATAGCAATGTTACCACATGTTAACTTTCATGGAGGACATGTCTTAGTCAGATGTCTGTCATGAAATTATTCAATGTTAAAAGTCCTTTGTGATTTCCAGATACCCCTTCGAAAATAATCCAGCCTCTTGCAGCTGACCCACCAAAATATTTATAATGAAAATTTGTCTGTACCTGTGCAACCAATGATTGGATTTCATAACATCATATCGAGAAATGACATCATCCATTTTTTTTCTGATTGATTCGGCCGTTACTTGATGAAGATCCATAGTTATTTTGTAGTGCACTACGAAAAAGCTACTGTGATAACGAAACATGTGATATTTTTTGAAAATAAAGTTTGTGAAGATCAAATCGTTAGGTGTAGTTTATGAAATCATTATCCATATAATTATCACACTAATAAATCGAACGAAAATTTCTTGGCAACAGCTACAATTGAATTTCCATTTTGTTAATACAATTTCATTTTCTCTTTTCCATGTATATTCAATTTCTATGATTGTTTTGAAAATTTGAAATTGCCACGATATGAGAGAGTTTCAGAAAGTATATTCAATTTACAGCTTTCTGAAGTTGAATGGAAAAACAAAGTTATGGTAGAATATAAAATAAGAAAGGTTGTCATTTGAAAAGTTTACGAATCATGCAAGTATAGAATTATGTTTTCAGTCCGAAATCAGGTTCAGAGCAAATAAAAATTTTGTTTTTATTCTGGAACTTCTCATCTTCTACCATCTGCTTGAATGAAACCACGTGTTGAGGCGAAAACTCAAAGAATCAACATACATTCTCATATATCTGCCGAGAACTACATTTTTTCGAATGGTTATTCACGTCTTCACTGAAGCCGATTTTGGATACTAAATCGAAACGTCGTGAGGTATAGTTTGGAAACTTATTCTTATTCACTTATGCTTGTTTGTACATGTTTGACAAATCAGTTACCACGCATGCCACATATCGCAATTTTTTTTTTCTTTCCATTTCAGGTCACAATCATTTGTTTGCTTCATAAAATGTTGTTGTTAAACAATAATTTTTAGTATTTTATTACAGGAATAAAGGCTTTACGGCTGGCGTCAATGTTTTGGTTGGTTTCCGGGTTTCGCCGTAATCTTCTTTGGTTATAATTTACAAACGTTTCGACTGCAACTGCGGCAGTCATCTTCAGTCGCGTGGTCGAATCACTTTCCTTGACTGAAACTGTTTCAGTTGACACGTCAAGAAGAGTACTTTGACCACGCTACTGAAGATGACTGCCGTAGTTGCAGTCGAAACGTTTGGAGATTATAACCAAAAAAGAACACAGCAAAATACAGAAACCAACCACAACAGTATTTTAATACTTCATCATTTTCATTTTATTTGTTCTATAGATTTAACACTTTTTTTAGACAATGGAAGTCCGAACTTTATCGTTAATCGAATGTTTGGACTGTCAATCGACAACTTTGACATCTGTCGAAGAAATTTGAAAATAAAAAAAAATCTCGAGACAAAAACTGCCAAATGGCCGATTTTTAATTATAAAGATGGAGCCAGATTCTGGTCTCCGAAACATCATGATAAAAAATTCTTAGCATTTTCTATTTATATTATTAAATTTGGATTTCTACTTCTCCGTCTTTATAAAAAAAAAATCTTCCAAAGAAAGAAAAATAGATACGAATAAACTTTCCACAAAGATGTGCAGATCATGCAGAAAAGTAACTTTCAGACACAAAACTGGAACAAAAAGCCTCCTCGAAACAACTACATTGAATTACACGAAGGAAGAAATACGTTCGAAACATTTAAGAATATAATTCTGTATCAACTCATTCGTGATGTAAAGTCGGAATTTCATGAATAAATTGAGTGGTTCATCTTATATTATCCAGATTGGTGCTGAAGAGGCAATAAGGTGAGTGTCTGATTCCGAAACACTGAATGTCCGCCATTGAGGATGACAGTGTTCCATGTAAGTGAAATTTTACCTCTTTCATATAACATCCAGCAATCCTTGAATGATATCTGATTCAATTCCATAACGAATGTTTGGAAAACAAACTGAATAAAAAAACATGTTTTTTGTATTCTATGTCAAGAGGGCTTTCTCCAGTTTTTGTCTTAAAGTTACTTCTTTACATGATCTGCACATCTTTGTGAAGAGTTCATTTTGAAATTAATCGCCATCTTCCTTTCTTTGGAAGATTCCCATATTTTTTTGTATCAAGATGGAGACGTAGAAATGTAACACTTTTCTTTCCCAATAATCAATTTCTTCTAAAATATAATCCTTTCAATTCATACTGAATTTACATTTTTTCAAATTGTGGAATACGAAAATCCCAGAAAACATCAATAATAACTCTTGATTCCTTTACAAAATATAACTTTCATTGAAAATTAAATCTCCTTTCGATATAACGGAACTTCACAAAACCTTAGACATCCATTCAGAAATTTAATATTCATTTCAACTATAATTGGAAAAGTCCAATCAAACTTTCTTGCGCCCTTGCGCCATCCATCCTACAAGTCTCTTACGGTTCAGTGGGAAAACAAAGCAAATGTTTCGACTCTGCTTTCCCATTTCATCGGATATCGTTCCAATGTTTATTGGGCCGGAATAATCTATAGCGACAAGTCATTTAGGGGCTGAAGGGAGAAAGGAAGTTGTTTTTCCAGTTTTTTTTGTATAGTTCACAGCGACAGGAAGTTCGAATCGAGTAATTTTCAGGAAGTTCGAATCGAGTAATTTTCGTATTGTAGTACAATTTACTTTCGAAACATACATAAGGATAATACGTTTTTCTGTGAATAAAAAGCATAAATTATTTTACCGTTTCTTGTTGAGAAAGAATGATCCATAACTCTAACCTTCGAACCAATCATGCTGGGAAATGAAATGAACAATTTTACTTTGGATATGCATTTGGTTGAGAAAGAAATAAATAATAGTATAAAAAAGTAAAAAAATACACTTTAATACCAAAACAAAATAAAAAATAATTCAAAATTGTATTGAACATTAATTTAATAAGTTATATGACTTGATGTAACTAATGACTTTTAATAAGTCCGAAATCAGAATATAAAAAAGCGTGGGATGCTTTAAATTATAATTTTATTATGGCACCAATCCGGCAAACAGCTCTTAACCAAGTATTTATAACAATATTTATAACACGGTTTTTTACAAAATCTATTTTTTTTTTGTAAAAAATCTGATTTCAGACTAATTAAAAGTCATTGGTTACATCAAGCCATAGGACTTAGTATCGATGTTCAACACAATCTCAAATCAGTTTCGAGTTATTTTTTAGCTTGTGTTGC